GGAAAATAGTTCGATTTGAAGTTAATTTCAGGAAAATAGTTCGATTTAAGGTTCGATTTCATGAAAATGATTCGAATTGAGGTTCGATTATATTTAAATATCAAACATCTAGCGATACATGTTAATGCAAGTTGAACATTCAAGCAGTAAAGTTGTCTTTATAGCTACTATAACATGCGTTTGAATACATTGCAAAAGGCTGAAATTTTAGCTAAATTGAACGATGGAGTGAATGGTAATCGTCTAGCAAAAGAATATGGCGTTGCTAAATCAACAGTTTCACTATTAAAAAAGCGTAAATATGATGAAATGCTACAGCCAGACAAAAGAAGTGGAATTTTTAATCCACCATCAAGTGTGAACGAAGGTGAAAATGAATCAATTCAATCGAACAACGCATCTGCATCCAATGAGTATGAGACTTCTGATAAATCCAATGATGAGAGAGTTGAGAAGAAATCACGCACATTGCCAATGTTCCGTCAGCTCAAACTCTATAAGCATCCGTTTGACATAGATGAGAATCAGCATATTGACGATGATGCTGCTAGCGAGTATGATGATGATGAGGAGGAGGAAGATGAGAGCGAAGAAGAAGAAGAAGAAGAAGAAGATCCTAATGAAATATGTAAAAAATTACATCATGTATGCATCAACTTGCATGTTCCGCCTCAATCACTACGCGTAATGTTTAAATTATTTTCCAAATTACGGAGCAGCGGTTGCATTGAGTAATCTGTAATTCTAAATGTAATCACTCTGATGATGAAGATAGTTCGATTTAAGGTTCGATTTAATGAAAAAAAGTTCGATTTGCGGTTCGATTTCATGAAAATACGCTCGATTTGAGATTGAAGTTCAATTATATTTATAAACCAGACATCTAGCGATATAACTTAATGCTACAGAGTGAAAAACTTTTAAAATATAGATTATAGTTAAAAAAAAATCAGTTTACTAGCTGCATTCATTCAAACAACAACAAAAAAGCAGAAAACATTGAAAAAATATGTTTACAATGGCGACTGCACATCCACTAAATGATGGTACTCACACATACATTAGATTGAAAGATTTGGAAATCGGTAAAAAATACCAAGTTTGCGGTTTTGGTATGTTTAGAGGCAATGTTGCTAAAATTGAACGAGTATGTTCAACAGTTAAAATTGGTGACAACTATTTGATTCTATGTGAACGTTATCGAGAAATTGTTGAGAATCTTAAATTAGAGAATACCGAACCTCTTTATATTGCTTATTACGGCCCGGGAAAAAGAAGTCGTCCAGAATTTCATTTTTACGATTATTTATGGAATTTCATCGCCTAAAAAATATAATATAAAATAAAATGTTGAAAACAGCAGAAAAAAATCAAGTTTAATTGCATTATATTAATGAAATGATGAAATAAAAACTCTTTTTTTGTTGTACCACTATAAAAGATCAGTTGTTTCATTTATTTTTCTTTTTTCTTTACATTTCAGAATATTTAATAATAAATTAATAATATGTATAAGGCCAATTCATTTCGATCATATAATAGCTCGAATTCATGAAAAAAAAGGATTTGATTTTGAGGTTCTATTTAAAAAATGGTTTGATTTGAGGTTCGATTTCATGAAAATAAGTTCGATTTGCTGATCGATTTAAAAAAAGGGAAAAGGTTCGATTTGAAGGTATGTAAAGGAGGAAAAGGTAAATTTCTTAACAACTCATAATAAAATTATGGCTTATTTCGATTATTTTCTTCAAATTTATTTATCATAAAATGTCCCCATGCAAGTGTTTCGATGCGATTGGGTCGGAGTAGGTAGCGTTTATCGTCAGCTGGGTTGAGTGCAATTTTCTCCTGTTGAATAGTGTACACATTATGCATTTTCGATCGAATGGTATTTTGTTTCCGAACAATAGTACAAGGACCGCTTGCATTCTGTCCACCGTAATCGCAATTCTTTTCAATGCAATCAATGTAATCGCTGAAGGTAATTTCCCGTTTTACGATATTCTTCTTAATACCTTTGGACTTTTTGATCAATTTGGTCTTTTTGTTGAGCTCACAATTCACTGCAGTGCAATCGATGTAATCGCTTTCTGTAGCCCGACGATGAACTACACTCTTTTTTGGACATTTACATTTATTTAATTTTGTCGAAAGTGGCAATGCTGCATAGCACTTTGCGCGTAAACCCACGAATTCAGCCAAAATTTCACCGTTCAATTCATCTTTGAATAGACCGGGTACTTTTTTATTGACTGTTGGCATGTCGTAAACATTATCGTTTGGATAGTCGCTTGTGTCAAAGCGTTCAATGTTCGCCTTCATATCGGCATAGAAATCATCCGTTTTAACAGATAAAACGAATGAATCAGTATCTGTATAACAAACGTTACAATTTTCAGCATATTTCGGCTTAAGGAAATCATACAGAAAACTGTACATAGTAATTTTTGAAATGTCCAAAATGGACATTCCTATTATAATCGGTTTGATCATTTTGATGTGCGTTTTTTGCAATTCAATTGCAACTACAGTATCAGAGAATATTTTACACTTTTTGAAATTGGGTCGTGCAATCAATAGGCCAGCACCACATCTGTCCCCCCATTTATTGACCACTTTGATGTCTGTACGAAGACGTAAATTCTCCATCGTTTTGCCAAAGACTGAATTGATCATGTATTTAAAGAAAGTTTTTTCGAAATCATTTGTAGCCCGTGTTCGCAACCGCGTATTGATGTCAATGTATGGCTTTAACCATTTGCTTTGCTTGAAACTCAGAATGCGATGGACTTTTTTCAAGACCAACCCATGTCTCAAAGCTAATTTTAACATGCGGTAATGTATGACATAGTTCTTTTTTTGGCTTAGTGTGAGCAAGAGTTTTTCAATTTTATTCACTTTAACCTCATTGATATCGACGGCTTCGCGCGGTAATGTTTGCTTTTCACAGCAAAATGGAAAATCATTATGTGCATTATGTAAATTTTCCGGATATTCCAAATCCACTTCGAAAATAAACCCATTTTCATCGTCATCATGTATTTTCATTATATTCTCAGCTTTCGAATAAAGTTTTTTTATGCGGTTCGTTTGTACCCATTGGAAATTACTGATTGGTAATGATTGTGACATTGCGTGTCCGTACAAGTTATTTGCTGTTGATGCGCGTGTGTGTATGAAAGAGAAAAAAATATTTTATGTACAATTTCATAATATGATGAAATAAAATTTCTAATGAATGAAAAAATGTGATATTACCATCCAAGTACATCAAGTAGATTGAATCTTCATCTGGTTTGTATTCATCGCTCATATATTTATTGTTGGCTTTGGCATAGCGTTTGCTACATTGACTGATACCACCGCGAATACCACGCTCGACAAACAGCAGCATATCAGGATCGGTCAACAGTTCGATTTTCACTCGGGTGTATTTAAGCATGGCATCCCACGATAGACCAGGTGCCGTATAGTAGTGAGCCGGATCCAAACCGTAGATTTGAAAGCAAGTTTGTCGAAAATTCTCAAATACATCGGCCAACAGCAAAACGTCGGTTTTCAAATATAAATCTGAATACTCGGCTAATGTTTTACAATCGAATTTTTCCCACATTTTGCATGCAAATTCATACTCATCGTCGGAAATTTCTTCCTTGTTGAGTTGGCTGTAGAATGCTTCTTTCGGTGGTAGAATCGTTTCCTTTAGTCGCCCGATGCTGTCCACATATTCATATGGAAATACTCCTTTTCGTTGGAGCATATCCACTTGTTCGGCCGAGTATCCATCCAGTTCGCATTCTTTTTTCATAATGAGTTTTTTATCGATCGGCAGCAGTGATGCTAATTCAGATAATGTTGCTGGCATAAAGCGGCATGAATCGATGAATGTCAATTTTATATTCTCTTTTGTACATATACCGCGCGTACTTTCCGAAACTGCTTTGGTGAATGAAATGTATTGTTCTGCATTAACTGGAATTACAGAGATATCACCCGTCATAATCTCATCCGATGCGAGTTTTGTAATGAACAAATGCGAATCATATCCCGATAAGTTATGCATTATTACCGGAATGGTGCGAGTGTCTATAAACCTCAAATTGCATTCGTTATGCGATGGTCCGCGGTAATAACCCGTGATATGGCAGTGATCGCGTATACGTTTTTCACCTGCTGCAAATGGTTGCTCACAAACATGACATACCGCATTCCAAGCGTTGAATGCATTCTCCTCGACGAGAGTCAGCGGTTTCATTTGCATGTTATTGCTGAGAAGTCTTGCCACCTCTTGAACAACTTCTTCTAATTCTTTGATGAACCATTCAACTACATCTTCACCATTTCTAATGACATCGATTGTGGTATTGCTGCTACGAAAGAATGAATGCGAATCATCAAAGTGACATTTAACATAATATCCAACGCTGAACATTAAATGTTGCTGCTTTGCAGTGGTCTTACACTCCTCGCTAAACACACTGTTCCGCTCGTCTGCACTAAGTTCTTTGAGGTAGGACTCTGTGTCGGCATATATAACGAATGGAGCCTTCAACTTATGTTTATGATTTATGAATTCCATCCATTTCTCATTAGCCGCAGGCATTTCGATGCTGCATCCACTACCAACATTTTTACATTGTTCCCAATGTGCACCCAATTTTTCCTGAGTGTCGTAATATATTAAACATTGATTGCAGATATATTTCTTTCCATCATGTTTAGTGAGTTGTTGGCTGAGTAAACGACTCATGCTTTTAATCCAGCAATAATGTGATTTAATTGAAGTATTTTCGAGTGTCTCTACGATAGCTCTGCTTGTGGTGACATTGGCATTAGCTCTAGCACTTTTTTCGTCGGTTGTTAGAAATAGATTCACATGGTTTCTTTTAGCAGTCGGAGTCATTCGCAATGGGCACACGCGCTTTTTATCATAATCGTAATAATAAACGTTTACAGATATTTCCTTTTCGCTATTCTGCCTTTCGAATTTACCGATTTGGTTTATATGCATTGGAAAATCGATTCCGTTGAAATTCAAATCATCTGAATATTTGTAGTAATGAAATAATTTATCCGCATTTACTTGTGCTGGGTGTAAGGCCGATAATATAGCCCATTTAAAACACATTTCATCATCATTTTTCACGTTTATAATTGCGCCTTTGTTTTTAATAAATTTTGGTAAGTCAATGTACGATGATGCGTGAAGCGGATCGTAACGGCAAACGTTCACGTCCAATTCGATGATGCGAGAGAGTTTAAAACCTGAACCACGAAGCTCAACATTGTGTACACTCTGTATGACTTCATCCTCAATATACCCTTCATAATGCGCATGTAAATCGACATGAGAAGAGAGTATTACATTCGATGTTGCCAAATACAAAGTTTGTTTTTCAGTTAGTTCTCCATTCTCAGTTTGGGTTTTCTTCTCAAATTCAGCTACAAATGTACTCATCGTCTTAATGTAACCATGACGTGCGGTAATCGAAGATAGCTGTCCTTCATAGATATGAAATGCATCACTCAAAAAAGCACGAATATCAATATGCTCATTGTTTACAATTGCAAATGTGAGTATTCGATTGTCGTACGCACTCGCTCGCATGCGAAATTCGACACTTCCACGCTCGCGTACATTTTCACCCGCGTTCTCCATATTCACATCGATATCAACGTTTTCACCGGCGTTTTCCGCATTTCCATCGATAATTTCACGCACGTTTTCCATTTTTCAGAGTAGTTTTTTTTATCTCGCTCGAATGAAATTTAAAATCACTTTTTGCTAAAGTTGAATAGCTAAAAGTCAAGAATTTTTGGTGTGGAAAAAAATTTGGTATATCAATATGGACCGTTCCTTTCGGAACGCACCGAACGAAATTTTCATGAAATTAACTTCGAATCGGACTATTTTTTTATGAAATCGAACCTTAAATCGAACTATTTTCATGAAATTAACTTCAAATCGAACTATTTTCCTGAAATTAACTTCAAATCGAACTATTTTCCTGAAATCGAACCTTTTCACTCAAATTTGATTTTCCCAAATGTGTTAAGAAAATCAAAAAATAAAAGCTTATTTGTTTACCTTTTAGTGTGGTACTATAGAGGGGAACGGGCTAAGCGTGAGATGTAGAGAGAAGGTAAGTATATGTGTGGAATGAGAGCGTTTCTCACATATACACACCGCGACTGTAACGGCAGCAGTGCTCACTCGTTCGCTGTCCATTTGATTAACATTGCTACACTCATACGCTAGAGCGGCATCAACGGCAGCGAATCTTTTGATTTTCGCTTTCATCCATTCTTCTTTTTTTCATTCTCTCTCGGTTCTCTCATATATATGCGCGCAGCAGTAAAATTTTCTCGCAACTGTTTTGTTTTCTCTCATTCACAGCCGGACAACGTCGTAAGTACAAACGAAAAACAAAACTGTATTCGTAAATAATTCGATTGTGTGCATATAATTGAAATGTGTAATGAATGTACGAGTGCATGCGTACATGTGAGAGAGTTAGAACCGATTTTTTTTTCAGACATGTGTGTATGTGTGTGTGTGTGTAATTGAAATCAAGAATGATAGCTACTTATTCATATACATATATGTACATTATACATACATACATTTACATATAAAAAATAAACTATAATAAAAATACAATTTGTTTCATATCCAATGCATGCATTCAGCATGTCTACCCACCGTATACATACATTATCATACATGTTCGATAGCCGAGATGGTTAGGTGGTTGCCGTGAAATCTCATGGTTCGCGGTTCAATTCTCGTTTCATCAAAAAATATTTTTATTTAAAATTTTCTTAATCTTAAGCAGTGATGGTGTGTCAATTCTATTATCTGTATACTGTTCGGCCCAAAAATTGAACCCGAAATGGCACTACACTCCTACTGCGCCATCTATAGCTTGTTCGAATGTATAGTGTACTATTCAAATTACGTCTCCGTGGCGCTGCAAGCAGCGCTATTGGTGGTAAAAAATGGAACTAAGACAGTTCCAGCACCTCTCCCATTTAAAATACATGGTGAGAGATGCTGGAACTGTCTTTTTCCTACTACTCATCTCAAATATTTCCCCTGTAATCTATAGAGTGCAGAACATAAAATAAAGAATTTTATGAGAAACTTTTATGGTAAAACACAACAAAAAACAGATTGCACTTCTCTTGTCATTTCAATATTTAGATTACCTGCACTCAATCGTTCAACGTCCCAATCAACCGAAAACACTTTTACACACAATCGTTCGCTCGCACACCGGAATTATTTTTCCACCGAAATTTATTTGATTAGGTTGCAATGGCTGTTGACGTGAAATGTTCACCACGAATAATAAGCAATGTATGTTTCACAATGACGCATTCAGCTCGTTATCCACAGTTGTATAGTCGACCTTTTCTGTCAACGAAACATCCAGTGCGAGTGCCAAAGTTAGAAAGAGATGACTGGTACAAAAATGACGTTTGTTTTTTAGACCGAAAGTCATTTTGATGGTTTCGTATTTTCGTATTTTCGTATTTTCGTATCATGATGGTTTATCTTTATCGCAAGAAAATAGCAACAAAGTCTCAAATGAAATAAAAAATGTGTTGCTGAATAATAATTCAAAGTGATAAATAATAAATTTATTTCGCAATCTTGCTCGCTTGAGATTTTTGATTGAAAAAAGTTGGTTTTTAGTAATCTGTGTATGTGTGTATGTGTATAATGTGTGTAATGTGTGTATGTGTGTACACTAATACTTAAAAACGTGGATGAAACATACAAATACATACTACTGATAACACATAAAATAGAAAGTGATTTGTTTGCAGAAATATGCTTATTATTATTAGGAAAAAATTCATTAGATTGAACAATAATAATGATATTCCATGTGGTAAAGTAAAGAAGTCGCACATGCTTCACATAAGCCTATGGTTCAATACAATTGGACACCGGTCATACTAGCAACGATTGTGGACTTTCATTTATGTATACGGCGAATGTAAACCAACAAGCAAATGATCATTCAATGGGGCAATTTATCATTCGCTTATTTTTTTTTTTCACACATATATGTTGTTTTTGATTGAATGCAACACTAAAACGAATCGAGTTTCTTTCTTACAACATCGGACGATGTACATATGCTAATGGTTATCGCGTAATACGCAGGTACGAAAAAAAAGAGTATTTGTGTTGTTTGAACGCATACGAAAATCGATCATTAGTTTACGTTGGATTTGCAACGAAAGGAGAAATCATGTTGTGTTTGTTTACTTCGGTGTAACATATGTAGTACTTTATATTTTATTATTTCGCTGGTCATCTTCGGTTTGTGTACTTTTCTTTTCTTTCCTGTAACATAAAAATGAGATAATAAATAATGCATTTCACTTGCCACAAAATCATTGCTACGCACTGCATATTCGCACATGAATGGATTCAAAATCTTATACATACCAAATGAATAAATATAACATGAGAAACTCTCCTTCATAAGTGAGTGTGTGTCATGCACCTTGACCTTTCTTTGATCAATGCTTCAAAGAGAATAAGAAAATATGTACACTTTGCAGAGTTTCAAATATTGAAACAAATCAATGCTGTGAAAAACAACAGATATGTTTCAACCTCAGGCAAACAAAGAAGACACACATATTTTCACTTGAACTGTCCAAGGCACTCTTCTAGTATTGTATAGGTATCTAAAAGTGCAAAATATGCATACATTTCACACGTAAAATGTGTCAAATGTAAATATTGCCATAAAAAAGGATAAACTTCAAACTAACATTCAAATCATAAACGCTTGAATTTGTCCTCTCAACTCGAAAAAAAATTCTTCTTAAAATATCTCGAACATCGTAGAAGTAGAAACAATAAAATTTTGTGCACACCAAGAAACCATTTCAAACAAATTCAACAACAATGTTGATAAAGAAAGAAAAAAAAAGGTGAGAAAAGAAACGACAACAATAACAATATACCCATGTGCTTGGAAGAGATCATCAACGCATATGTTTTTGTGTATTTCTTCCTCTTCAACCCGGTCGAGAGCATTTCATCATAGTGTTTCGATGTATCTGTGTTCCAGTGTTCCAATGCAACGGCAAATCAAGTGATTCAAATACTCCAAATTGTTTGTGCACATACACATACATAACCATCAACACCTCACACAGCACAACAGTTTGCGTTTCAAAACATTGTGAACGCTACAACCAATTCGAATGATCAGTATTCAGTCGTTTCGTGTAGTTCGTTCGTTAAACAACGTATCATACCAAAAAGTGCCTACCGTGATTGTTTTAAATCGCCTTTCTCGCTTAGTGATCAGAGTGTCGTTTGAGCCAAAGCCAAGCAAAATGTGCGCATTTTTAAAACAAAATTGCACATTTCATTGAGTTCGATCAATTCATTTAATTGAATTTACTCGGTATGAACACTGGACTGACTATACTATCTACAAAACTTTTCAAGGAAGAAAACACAAAACATCTTAATTCGCATTGTTAAATTGTCAAACACACATACGTTGCAGCATAGCTCGGATCAAATTAACTAATTTAAATTCAAATTGATTATATGCTCTCGATTTTTCTACATACGACGTTTAAACAAACAAAAAAAAAACACATATAAACAACAAAAGAATAAGAAACTTTGAATTCCAAAGCACGAGCACTCTTGATTCTACTTAGTGCAGTGACTTCGTAAGCCCCCTTTTTAGGCATACGAAACAAAAACAACGTTTTTTTTAACCCCATGGTTATTGTTTGCATCAATATGGAATTGTGGTGGCCAACGTAAAATTTCGCATTAATTTCATCAATTTCAACGAAGAAATTTGTGTCAATTTTGAAAAATATTCATCATCAACTTGTCTTGACTGGAACTTAGTCAAAAATTCATCCACTGCGTGCCTGAAGAATCTAAATACAACATTTTTAAAGGAGAAAATACTGTGGATTTTTATTGGATTTTTTTTAATCGAAACATAAAGTCAAAGAAAGAAAAGGTAAGAAATTATAAATTCGATATATTTCATTTTCTTCAAAAGCGTTTTTTTTTGTGATTTACTTTAAAGAGCATACTTTAGAGAATCGTTCGGTTCTTTCAAATCGGTTATAACTTCGAGCACAGACAAAAAAAAAATCGAAACCTTTTCTTTTCAAACAAGTGCATTATTTGTTCCAGACACATTTCGTCCATTCATTTTCTGGACTCGTTTTGTGTAGTCATTCTCATTATTATAAAAAGTATCTAATATGTTGTGTCTGTGTTGAACATGTTTTTTTTTCTACCTGTTTATCACATCATTCGTCCGAAACTAAATGCATGTCGTCCATTATAATAGTGCAAATTGCCTATTTCATGATAATTTCTCTATTTCATTTTCGGGGAATAACAAACCAAAATAACAAAAAAAAATTGATGCATTTTGGGCGAGCTGCTTCTCGTCGGTAGAAATTACGACATCCATTTTTATTATGCGTTCCATTAATTAAATTGAATGCATAAAAAAGTGCGCGATAAACGAGTGCAATATAAAAAAAAAACAACATTAAAGTGATCAAATAAATAGCTGAATATTTTAAAAGAATTTAAATACATTGATTCACATTGAAAACGAAGTGCGTACTGAAAATATTAATGTGTTTCCGAAATTGTTATTAGCGTGTCAATGAAAGGGCAAAGAAAAGTCACCAAAACAACATTCAATATCTTCAAATGAGCAATATTGTGAAATGGAGAAATCGGGAACTAATGCGATCGTAATTAAGTTTAAATATTTGTACATTTTACGAAATGTTATCTTTTCTAAACCATTTTCATTGGTTGTTTGTACTTTGAACTTCGATAAATTATTGCAGTGCAAACGTTGCAAAATCATGAGGAGAGATCAACGATAAAAAAATATATATACTTATAAAACTGTCAACGAGTAGCTCAAGACTCAAGTACTTTCTGGTGGATGTGTTGTGTGTTAACGTTATGAAAACAAGGTGAACGACAAATCCATAGCAATATGCAATCTAGATTAACAAGACAGAATATTCAGAGATAAAAAAATCGCTCACAATGCAAACTACTTTGGTAGACAGATAGTTCAGAGCTACAAATGATATACCTACTTTATTCAAAACGTATTCGAAGAAAGAGCTCGATTTTGAAACGGTCAATTTAACATGATTAGAAATCAGATCAAATTCCAATCTGGTTTTTTTTTAAATTTGGCACAGTTTTCGTCAAGAGAAGTTTCGCATTCATTGAAATGAACCTTGTCAAAATGTCCATCATACAAAAAATAAATAAAGAATAAATTTGATGTAATAAAAACCCGTCAAAAGTATACAATGTCCAATCGTTGTTTTTGAAACTATAAAAATCGTACATTTCATAACATCCGCCAACACAATAAGAATGTTTGAGCAATGATATCAGCCTCCTCCTTCCGATTGTATATAATCGGATGCCACTTGTTCTATCCAGTCTAATTAAAAAGCACTTTCAAAAAAACTTAAAAAAATGACCGTTAAAAATTCACAATTAATTGAGACCGTTAAAATTCCCGAGTTTATGATGCACAGCGATATTAATAATGAAATAGCAATTCATTGTCATCACACAGCGCCCCTTTGTTCCAATTATAAAGAATTAAAAATGCGTTACATTCCATCTCGAGAGAGAGAAATGTGCATTTTTCAAGCAAACAATTTGAAATTTAATAAGTGCGTGCTTTGTTTTATACGAAATAAATTGCATAATTTAGCAAGTGCCTTTATCTCTTGATTCCTCATATTTTTTGCTTTTTATATGACCAGATGCGAATGGTCATAGTTTACTTCCAGACATATCCGATTACAGAGACTGCATCAAATTTCTTCGTGTTGATTTGAACGATCGTTGCCAATCCATAACTCCATCTCTTTTTCACATGGCAAAAATGCGTTTTCGTGTCCATTTATCGTAAAAGATTGTATACACCAACACATTCTATAATAAATATTACTTAACACGAAAACCAGTCGACGGGGGTTGCGTGATGTGATTCTTCGGCCAATTGAATTTAAAAGTGAAAAATGCAAGTGTAATAATGCAAACAAAGCGATTTTCAGTCGAATAAAATTTAAATGAAGCGAAAAAAATGTATTTTTTTTTTCTTCATAAAATCGACCCGATTCGAAATGCAATCAAGCAATTCACATCGTTGGCGCGTATTGTTTCTAATCAAAATCAAGTAGCCGCCAGTAATTAATCACCATTTCTACAGATCGTTAAAATTGCTGATTTTTACGAAAACGAGTTCTACTATTTCTGTTTTTTTCTTTTCATAGAGTAAAATAATATTATTCTCATTGATAATATTTTGATCGATTTTGCTGAGTCAACTGATTTCAAATGTGTAACTCGTGTATTGGAATAAATTATGGTCATTTATGAAAGTTGTCTATTACTGGTTTCGCTACAGTCAGCAAAATGTTTTATCTATATAAAAAAAGCATTAACTGCATGAACTCTTGGGCTTATCGCTTTTGTCGCCAATTGCATTCAATTGAATCCCGTAAATTCGATCTGTCATACAGCACACAAATCGGTTACATTTAATTAAATCACATTCACATTCACACTCACACAGATGCAAGCAGCTTTTTTTATGAAACACCTATAAGACTTGCAAAGCCTTCGAATAGAATAGATTTAACGAAAAAAAAGTAGTTATTTTCTATCTCTTTCTCGCTCTTTTGGTTGCTGTGAAAAATATGAACGTAAACAATTTCCTTGCTGCGTGTGTTGCACCCGCTGTCGAACGTACACTAAACATAGTAATTGGTTTTATTAATTATTAAATTATTTGTCCGTAAAACTTCGGCCAAACAGTGAGCTCGCAATCGTATCGACATCTGTAAACGCTAAGTAAATTTAATGTTAGCGTACCTTAATACCTTCTGGCATTCGTCATTTCGTTTCGACCATAAATAAAAAAAAAATATATTTCAAAATTGACTTGATTTTGACGTTTCTGCCACTGCCTTTTTGTGTTTTGAACACTGAAATGGCCATTGCCGCAAATATCGTATTTCGATCAATGTTTTCTACTACATAAAATCTAATCAACGTCAACACCAACAACGATTCATTGTCGATTTCAATTCAGTGTGGCAGTGTATTTGTGCAAAATACCCCTTGTGTTGATTTAGATTGCATTTTCATATTTCCGCTTAGGTTCCGTTTGATGCAAATTGCGTAGCAAATCAGTCGTTAAATATTGTTGCGCTTCAGTTTTGCAAACAAAGCGCATTGCGCTTCGCTCTGTTTATTGAAATGAACACAGAAGAGAGAAAAGTTGAAAAAAAAATTGAAACTGATCGTGATTCCATATTTATTTGAAAATAAGACAAATATATAATATAGTGATTGGATCGCTTTCGGTCGAGAATGTAATTGAATAGTAGCTAAAGATTAGACATTTTTATTTCCCTGTTTAAATACTATCTGTGTGGAACGCAATGCAATGAAAAAAATCTAGATTTTATTCGAAATAGCCTTCGAAATTTCTCGACACTTTATCATTTTGCGACATTTAAATTTCATTTGTCGCATTACAATGAATAATTTTAAAATGATAACCTCTGAATCGAAATTAGTACAATGTATTGTTGATATTGTTATCAATAATAAATTCTTCCAACTATATTTAGACCATAAAAGTACATTAATGAAATCGATACGGTGTGTTACGATCAAGTGCGTGTAGCGTACAATACCTACAAACATACAAAAATATATTATTATTTATTTCGACTATATCTCTAAAGGGAATCAATTTCGTGGTTTTTTTGTTTTACTAGGTTAACGGTATGTATGTCTATGCCACTATGTTCCGTGTTGCACTCTATGGCAAACATCCAAAATCGAAAATATGAGGAAATAAAATAGTAAAACAATCACTTGAATTTCGAACCGAAACAAACCCAAAAATACTTTCATTTTAATGTTGTCGTTTTTATGTATATAAGATGAAGTATAAACGACCACAACAACGTTTCAACGGTTTTTCGGCATATGTCGGTTTTACCACACCATCGTAATCGCATATTTACGTTTACGCATACGACAATAAAAATGAGCAAAAATGTCTGGTGTAACTCTTGCGAAGATGTGAATTGGATGATTGTTGTGCGATCGTTTTTCTTTCATTTCATTTCATTTTGACTGGATCGTACCGTATGCAATTTTTAACACACTATAATTTGTTGCGCTTGTCTCGGAATGACTGCCGCAAAACAAGTTTCATAAAAGAAAGTGATTTTTGTGCTATGCAGATAATGTGGCGATGACTTTTCTCCTCTTTTCGATTGAATTCTTTTTCTGTTGGTGGCCAGTTGATGGCCGGTGCAAAAGTGTTTTATATTGTTCAACAGATGCATGACATATGCAAAAAAAAATCATTCAATTTAACGCGATTTTGTAATCAGAAAAAAATTGTTGCCATTCTTTTATGTTTCCAAAGCAAATTTTTCTGCAGACTCGATTTATGAATCAGTTGAATCACTCAAGCGCACACAATCGAATAGATCTTCATTTCATTTCAACAATGCAAACAATTCAAATGAATTTTAAGAGTAGAAATCACAACAAATTACGTAGATTATCCAACTAATCAACCAATTTCGAAGGCAGATTCATCTACTAATCATCCGCCGTAAAGAACGTGACTAAGTGAGAAAGAGTGAGATGGCCAAAGAAAAAACGAGAGAGAAAAAAGATGTTTTCATTTTTCCTATTTATGTCATAAATTGGCAATCGTGTTATTGCTCCGATCAAACAACACAATTTCAGCACATACACTTAAACATATATATACATTTGCTGCCATTTCTGTAGTGTACACGCACGATTGATTCCTCTGGTGATTTGATAACGATTTCACAATTACTCGTTACTCAGCTATAGTGAATTGCATAAGAGAGTGTGGTGCGCCGTCTTTGCAAGCGTTCATGATTACATTGGTAAAATAGACAGAGAGCTGTTTCTTTTCTGTACTGTGTGTGTGGAAAAAAAATTGTTCACATGCACATAAACGAACTTCGCTTATACTTTATTGCTTCAAGCGATTGGAATGACTTTTTTTTCGTTGGTATTACTCTTGTTATTTTCATTTCTAAGAGTCTTGGTGTTTTTTTTTTTCAATTTTAAATAAACAAACTTGTTTACCCATATATTGCTGGTTTGACCAAACTTCTCAAATAACCGTACTTAAACGGTGCAATTGCGCCAAAATCAAATCTAACGAGCAAAAAAAAATCATGCACAAGAAAAATAAACTTGTTAAGAGCGGTAAACATATACAACCGAATCATTCGGTGTAAATCAAACAAGAAATTAATTTAAATGAGCAAATTTTTCCTATCCCTACCATAATAGATCGACGTAGTGGGTAAATCCGTAAAAAAGTGCTTACTTGCTCTTCGGTACGCACAGCACCGTCAAAGAATAGTCGACTGTTTTTCTTAAAGCCACCTTTATCATTATGTAATTTGGTATCGTTACTTTTGCGTGTGCAATATTCGTAATGCATTCGAAACTAGTTTAATGCAATAGAATTGGTAGACTTACCTAGAAACTGGCAAATCTTTTACTACCATATGTCTACATTGACTACTGGCAAAATGAAGAAAGACAATCGCCAAGCACAATAAACATGGAACGAAGCTTATTAAAGGGAAAAAAATGAAGCCATGAATTTCAAGTCAAGTAGATTGATCATGTACAAAACTCAAGCTCATCGCACCATGTTTACACAAAATGATCGATATTGGAGCTTGGGATTAGATAACATAATCTACTTTGATATTACCATTTATGCCGTCGTCATTATCGATGATGAAGTACATCTGTTTTAACCCACTAATTCAGTAATGTGCGAGCTACATTTTACAGGGGAGGGTGATTTTTTAAAAACCAAAAATTCTCTAGCAAATCAAACAAATTTTCGTTTTTTTTTTTTTTTTTG